CCTTAATTTAAAACAATAATAAAATTTGTCTGCCCACTAGCGTTTCAAAACTAACGACCGCTTAACGTTCTGGAAATTTTGAAAATATTCCAGTGAGTAACTAACATACTCGCCTTCGTAAAGTGCTCCGATAAATTTACGTAAATCTCTTAGCTGGCTTCAAGATTAAAGTTTTGGTCCTTTATAGCGATCCTTGAAACCCAGGTACGATTAAGACTGCCAGCTTTTCCTTCCAGCAGTAGGTTTGTATACAAGGTACATTTATACGTTTCTCATCTGTGTCGAGCGTGGCGGTCACATACTTCGATGTTCTTTGTATTACTGACCATTGTTTTCCTCGAAGCTGGTTTAATCAGGTAGAGTCCTCTTCAAAGGTTTGTAGAAGCACTCTTTTGGACAACTCTCGGAACATATACATCTATGAGCAGTAAACGGTGATCCGGGATCCAAGGAAGGATTGATAAATGCCACGGCCATTTTGTGTTTACAACAGGTGTTTTAGTTCCCAATCTTCTCGTGAGTATCACGGGAATCATGATGATGAAGAAAAAGAGTACTAAGCAAGGACGGAGTTTCATAAGCTTGGATTCAAGATCGAGACAGGGGAGGGAAAGAACTAGTCTTTCTTGCCTCTCATCTCCTTTCCGATTCTCACGTTTCTGCTCACTTTAGCCTTTAATTTACAAAATTGATATCTTAAGTGAGTTGGAAAATTGATCTCATTCTGTTTTCAAACTTACTCTTTCTTTACTGGCCGATTCTGGCCGATAACACAGTACAGCAGTTTGTGTGGATTTTACCCAAATTGCCCCATTCACGCAAATGAACAGGATACAGCTCTCCTGGTGGGATTCTAATCCCACTGCCAACTGGAAATATGTTGATGATGCAATACACCCTCCCTTCTATTTCCACTGCACCAAGATTGTTTTGGGAAATATGTCTTTGTTCAATAACAGACCAAGTGTTGTTTTCCTAATTATAAGCTTCTTCAGGTGCAGGGTTATTCTGCAGAACATCATTGGGGTCAATAAAATCATACCCCCTCTGCAACATAGATTCTGTTGTTTACTACAAAAAGACTTGAACCAAAGTGAGGTTTACAGGTTGTTGCCTTTACTTTCCATTCGTTCTTTACTGGATCAGAGCAGTGTAACCCTGCATTTTCCACATTCCAGCACCCGGAATAAGATTTTCCTAGTCTATAAAGTACTTTAGGTTCCATATAAGACGATAAAGTTTGTTCTTACAAAAGGATACAGTAAAAACCCACGTGTAAGAACCTAAAGTCTGGCAAAATAGGTTCTTACATTTTGCGTAGTTATTGGCATTTTAGGCTAAGTAGGTTCTTGATTTCTATGAAAGAGATACAGTTGATGATTTATCATTACCAGAAACAAGAAGAAACATAGATTTGGTCCTTAAATGTACAGTATTCATTCACAACTGTACAGAATGTATTTATGTAGTGTTGTCTCTATAACAAGAGTGCATAATTTAACTGTAACCCTTAAATAGGAACCTGCTTGATCTTGGTTGGCGAAACAGGTTCTTATATTTTTGGGTATTAAAATGGAAAATTTCTACCAGCAGGTTCTTAAACCACTAGTTTCTTACAAGCGGGGGTTTTACTCTATTTTTTTTCTCATATGTGATGTTTGAGAGCGACCAGGGGTTGATCCAAACACTGCCAGTAGATGGAATGCACTCTTCGCATTATATCAATAGATTTGCTCTCGCGCTTTTAAGTCACGGATAATGATTATACTGCATTTGACTGTCGAAAGCTTCGCTTCTCGGGCAAATATTTCTTTTCAGAACATCATATTTCCGCGGGGCAACTATCAGCCGATAGTTCCTCGACAGAAACACTTTATTGTTTAAATAGAAATCTCGAGCTCATAATCTAATTGTATAAAAGCTGACGAAATGATCGATCATGTTTGCACATTTTAACGTTCTTGTTTAGAAGTGCGCTCAGGTTCGAGAGGAAGGCATATTCACCAATGTGCAGCTAAAAAAAGGCAGGACCCTTTTTCCTGCTCACCGTATGGTATTAGCTGCTTTCAGTGATTATTTCTACGCCATGTTTACGAATGGAATGAAGGAGACGAACCAGGGAGTTATTGAACTGAGAGATAAAGCATGTCCTCAGAAACGTTTAGACAAATAATTGACTAAATTTATGGTGGATACCTTTGCATAAGCAGGAAAAACGTGTTTCAGGTTCTCGCCGCGGCTGATCATCTTCAAGTTACACGCGTTCTTCAAGAGTGTTGCGACTTCTTGAAGAGGGAACTGCTTCAGTTTAAACCTGATGTCCGCTGGTACTGCTGTCTTTGCACAGTTGCCGAAAAGTATGGCCTGAGAGAATTGAGAGAGGCAGCAGAAAACAAGATGGCTTTGAATTACCAGGACATTTGTGAAAGCCATAGAAACGTAGAGAAATTATTCTGGATGAAAATGAAAAGCATCAATTTTAGGGGATAACTGATGTAAGGTACAGTTTGCAATCAAGATTAGAAGAGATGTAGCAGAAAGAATTTTTCTTTATTATTCTCCGTATTTTACAGACTTCTTCACATAGTTCTAAACTAATTTAAACATCCACTAAAGGATCATTTGAAAGTATGTTACTGCGAGTTTAACAGCTACAGCGGTTTTCAATGCGTGTCGAAAAGTAATTGGTGTTGTATTAATACGCCACAGTATTGGCTTAAAACTCGCGCCCATTAATCAGAAGAAAAACTAAACCAATCGTGAAGTTGCTCGCTCGCTCACAAATCCACGCACGTTTTTCCGCCTTCGCCTCAGGTACATGCATTTACTTCGAGTTTTGATTGGTTCATTGGATTGTATGTGTCCTTTGTGACTGGACAGAGTGATTTCTTTGGTTTTAGTTTTACAACACCCGATTGAAAACCGCTCTAAAATGTATACAAATTGAAGTCAGCCTTTCTAAAGAAAGTGCCTTGTTCCAATAGAAACCTGAACTACTAAAGGTTTAATAAATCAAGAAAAAGAGTACCAAGCAAGGAACGAGCGTCACAAGCTTGGATTAAAGATAGAGATAGGAGAGGGGAGGGACGAGAAGTTACTAGTCCTGCTTTCCACGCATCTCCTTCCCGGCTCTTCCTTGTTTTGCTCGCCTCAGTCCCTCCTCACTTTGCTTACAATCTTTTTCCTTTGTGCAGTAACTATCGTATTAACGTGACCCTGTGCAAGTTGATTACAAGAAAATTCTTACATGTTTTATATATTTAATGTATAAATTTGATATTAAAAGTGAGTGAAAAAGTCATTTTCACTCTGATTTCAAACTCTCCCTCTTTACTGGCAGATAACACAGAACAGCAGTTTTGTCAATTTTTGCTAAATTTTCATACTCACCCAAATGAACAGGATACAGCTCTCCTGGTGGAATTCTTATGCCACTGTCAACTGGAAAATGTTTTACTATAAAGAAAACCTTCCCTTCTATTTCTACGGCATTAGGGTTGCCTGGGGGAATGTGTTTTTGTTCCACAACAGACCAAGTGTTGTCCTCATAATAAGCTTCTACAAGTGCAGGGTTACCAAGTGGAGAACCATTACTGATGTTAATACAATCATAACCCCCTGCAACATAGATTCTGTTGTTTACTACAAAAAGACTGGATCCATAGTGAGGTTTACGGGTTTTTGCTTTTTCTTCCCATTCGTTTTTTACTGGATCAAAGCAGTGTAGGCCTGCACTCTGCATACGCCAGCTAACTGAATCTAGTTTAGCACTTCCATAAAGGACATACACCTTTGAGTGAAGTATTGTTACTCCACTATTGTAGAAATGGTAACTAGGATGATTACTCATAATATTTACTTTAGCAAAAGTTTGCCACTGACATTTAGCAAAGCTATACCTTTGAGGAACTTGACTGCAATTAGAACGTATTGCATACATGTAATCGTCTACAATACATAAATTTTTGATTCCACCACACGAGTGTGGCATCTTCTCCCACACATTCCCTTCTGTATTATAACGATAAATGTAATAACCCACACTCCATTCATATCCAGCAACATACAAGTTGTTGCCAGCGGATGCAGCACAGTAACATTCCGTTGCCTCAATTGCTGGTATTGTGGATGCCAAAGGTTTCCACGTTTTTCCTTCAATGCCAAAATACTGCATCTGAGCCCCAGGTAAAACCGCTATAACAACCTGAAACGACAGATAAGGAATTTTAACGATACAAAGATACAAAGAAACTATCAAAACTATCTCGAAACTGAATATGGAACACCGCGTAAAATTCGAAATATATATTTCAAAAATTATCCGTCACGGCTCACGTTCTCCAAACAACGCAGAATTTGATCATTTCACGTTGTTGTCTTGCAGAGACGGCAAAGAAATGTACAAAGAATTATAATACACGTGCGCAGCCATTGTTCTGCTCATTAAATGTTTTGGGACGTTACTGTTGCCGTTGTGGTTTTCTTAAATCTTAAGATGGGAAGTGGGACCGCGAAATCACCGAAAAATTTCTCCTAAAAAAAAACCAGCAAAAAGAAACTTGCGGAAAGCGAACAGCGAAAAAGACACATACGGAGCAAAAAGAAACAAATCTTACACAAAACGACACTGAAACAAAAATTGCCAACACCACCTCTCCTTTAGTCTCATCCGCAGCCGTTATTAGGGTCGTCACGCAGTGCTTCTCCCCCATAGTGGGGGAGAAGCGTTGCGTGACGACCCTAATAACGGCTGCGGAGGAGACGACCCCTCCCTCCCTATCCAAATGAAAATGGTGCATCTCTACCAAATGTGCGTGTATTTTCAGGGACTGGGATCGAGTGACATATACCCAAATGCAAACATTTCTACCGTGACGTAAAATATGAAATCATATCACGCAGACGAACTTTACGGACTTAACTTCGTGGCAAATTAAAATACATGAATTTTATAGACTGGCATAAATGATAATTCGAAGATGGCATTGTCTCATCGAATCAATCACGTGACTTACTTAGCTTTGTGGACTACATATACAGTCCAAACTCTCTTACCGGGCTAGTCGATCTTGTTTTTGTTTTCTCCGCAGCAAACTTAAGATTACGAGAAGGCATGAAGTTATAGATTAACGTTTCACACATCAGCGTGTAAATCTCTGGAACTCGTTTCATTTCCTCTGTGTCCAGTTCTTCAATCACAACCCTGATGTCCACCAGCCCCAGACGAACAGCTCCGATAACTTTACCTGCAACTGCCATCCTCTCTTCCTTCTTGTGTTTAATCCACTGCATCACTGATTTGAAGACGAACGTCT